CAAGGAGGAGGAGGATGTGACCATGGATGCCTGGCGCATGCACCGGAAGCACGTCTTCGTGCTCAGCGAGGCGGGCAAGCCCGTGTACTCCCGCTACGGCTCTGAGGAGGCCCTCTCCAGCACCATGGGCGTCATGATGGCCCTGGTGTCCTTCCTGGAGGCCGAGAAAAACGCCATCCGGTCCATCCACGCAGGTACCGCCCTGGGGGGGGAGTGGGACAGGGGGGTGTCACAGCCTGCCTGGCCATGCCCCTGCCACTGCAGGCCACATTAGCTGTCCCCAGGGGCAGATTGGTGGCGGGGGGATGCTGCAGCCTGGCTCCCCCTTGCAGCCCGGAGGAGCCAGGCTTACGGGTCTGTCCCTGGCTCGCCCGGGGAACTCCCTCCCAAGCAGATGGCTACAAGGTGGTCTTCGTGCGGAGGAGCCCGCTGGTGCTGGTGGCAGTGGCGCGGACCCGGCAGTCAGAGCAGGAGATCGCCCATGAGCTGCTCTACATCTACTACCAGATCCTGAGCCTGCTCACCTGGACCCAGCTCAACCACATCTTCCAGCAGAAGCAGAACTATGACCTGCGCAGGCTCCTGGCCGGCTCCGAGCGCATCACCGACAACCTGCTGGACCTCATGGCCCACGACCCCAGCTTCCTCATGGGCGCCGTGCGCTGCCTGCCCCTGGCCGCCAGCGTCCGGGACGCTGTCAGCACCAGCCTCCAGCAGGCCAAGGCCAAGAGCCTGGTCTTCTCCATCCTCCTGTCAGGGAACCAGCTGGTGTCTCTCGTGAGGAAGAAGGATCAGTTCCTCCACCCCATTGACCTCCATCTGCTCTTCAACCTCATCAGCTCTTCTTCCTCCTTCCGGGAGGGTGAAGCCTGGACTCCCATTTGCCTCCCCAAGTTCAACTCCAGTGGTTTCTTCCATGCCCACATCTCCTACCTGGAGCAGGAGATGGACCTATGCCTCCTGTTGGTCTCCACTGACCGTGAGGACTTCTTCACCGTTTCCGACTGTAAGCGGCGCTTCCAGGAGCGCCTGCGGCGGCGAGGGGTGCACCATGCTCTGCAGGAGGCCCTGCGCACCCCCTTCTACAGCGTTGCCCAGGTGGGCATCCCTGACCTCCGGCACTTCATCTACAAGTCGAAAAGCTCTGGGCTCTTTACCAGGTGAGGCCCCTGTGGAACCATCGGGCCGTGGCATGGGGTGTGGGGCAAGCTTTTTCCACGAATCCCCTTCTCCAGGGGGCTAACGGGGTGCTGTGTTCCTGCAGCCCTGAGATTGAGGCACCCTACGTGCGGGAGGAGGAGAAGGAGAGGCTCTTGGGGCTCTACCAGTACCTCCACAGCCGGGCTCACAACTCTTCGCGCCCCCTGAAGAACATCTACTTCACGGGCCCCCGTGAGAACCTCCTGGCTTGGGTAAGGGCTGTCTGAAGGGTTTGGGTGAGCCAACACAGCACCAGCTCCATGGTCCCCAGGGTGGCCTCCAGCTCGTGCACGAGCCTTTTGGGGGCCAGCCTGCCCCCGTGCACCCCTGTGCCAGGGAGGGACGGGCAGGGAGAGCAGCGGGGGCTGGCTAGTGCCGGCACCAGGGGCTGTGCCATGTGCTGTCGTGAACTCCCCAGTGCCACAGAGAAAACCCACTCTGGGGAAAAACCCTGGGGTTTGGTCCCCGCACTTCTGAGCAAACCAGGTGCCACACGTTTAGGGTACCCCGTTGCCACCCCATGTCCCTGTACTGGAGCCCCTGTGCCTGTTCCCAGTGCCGGGGGGGGAAGATGCAGTGCCAGCCCCAAGTGAGGTGCAGGCATCTGCCCAGCGTGTACCCTGTTTTTTCACCCAGGTCACCAGCGCCTTCGAGCTCTACATATGCTACAGTCCACTGGGGACCAAGGCTGGCGCCATCAGTGCTGTCAACAAGCTCATGAAGTGGATCCGCAAGGAGGAAGACCGACTCTTCATCCTCACGCCCCAGACATACTGATGGGCATCGCCCAGGGCATGGTGCCAGCCGGGGGAGCCCCCGCTGTGCCGGGGAGCCCATCCCCCGGGGAAGCCCGGGCCATGAGTCCAGGGGAGAGGGCATGGTGGGACCCCGCAGCATGGGGAAACCCACCCATGGGACTGTCCAACCTGGGTGTTAGAGACGGGGTGACAGCTGCCAGGGGAAGGGGTGAGCAGGACTTTCTCTCATCTGCAGGCAATGCCTCCCAGCTGGGGGGGCTGCCCTTCCTCTGCAGCCCCCAGCTCCATCCCTCATTGTGGGGGTCCTGGAGTGGGGCTAGTGGAACCCTGGGTTGCTGGAGGGGAGCTGAGCCCCTGGGTCCTGCTGCCTGTTGCCTGGCACCCTCCTTTCTCTGCCATCCTGCGGCTGTGCCAAGGGTGAGGGTCCCCAGGAGAGATGTGGCAGCACTCGGGGGACCCCTGTGCTGCTGTGCCCGCAGAGGGTGGGTGACACCACCCAGGTAGCGGACAGGGTCCTGCCTACCTCCCCACGGGGACACAGAGCGGCCCCAGAGAGACTCGGGGTACCGGGGTGCCCATGGGGTGCTTGTGGGCTTGTGGTGCTGGCTCCTGGGCAGCGGACCCTAAAGGAGTGGCTGAAGCGCAGCCCCCTGGAGATCCCGCTGGCACGGGACCCTGGTGCCCTCCCAGCCCAAGGAGGGTCTTCCCCTTGGTGTGGGGGCACCTGCCCCCCAAACCCAGCCCCTCGAGCCAGGTACACTGAGCTTGCTGCACAAGGGCTGCCTCCTCCCCAGCCGTCCCCAGGCACTGGTGTGGGGCTGAGCGCCCATGAATGCCGTGGCACGCCGGGCACGGCCCTACCCCGCGTTCTGGGGCAGTCTGGCGAGCACTGGGACGGGTGTTCAAGGAGGGGCAGAGCCACCGGGGTGGCACCAAGACACTGAGGGAGCTGGGAAGGACCCGGCAGGGCTAGCGCAGGGACTCTGCTCCTGTATTTATGCTCCTGCCAGAGTGTAATCGCTTGTCTTTGCTCATAAACATTATCTGGACCCTAAGTCAAGTCTCGTCACGTTCATGGGTGTCCACTTGGGGGGTTGCAAATGGCCAAGTAGGGGGGGAAGTTTGGTCCAAGTTTGGGTACGGTGCAGTCCAGCCCTGGGGACCCGCTGGGGGCCGGGAAAGCTGGTGGGGAGCGGCGCAGGGCAGCCGGGGCCGTGCTGGCAGGAGGCAGTGCTGGCCGGAGGGTGGGAGCTGC